TCTCTCTCTCTCTCTCTCTCTCTCTCTCTCTCTCTCTCTCTCTCTCACACACACACACACACACACACACACACGCACGCACTGAATTTCTCTCTCAGTCTGCATCACTTTAACAAATTCGGGAACACTTCTGTTTGTTGTTGTTAAGCAATAAGGCATAGAGAGATTAAGAATTTATCTACAATCACAATGCAACATTCTGCGGAAAAGTCCAAAACAATACCTACAATGATTCTACTCATCAAATGTAATGCTTCAGGCGCCCGTGCGGCTCAGTTGTTGAGCATCTGACTACGGCTCAGGTCATGATCTCATGGTTCGTGAGCTCAAGCCCCGCATCGGTGAGCCCCGCTCTTCTCTCCCTCCCTCTTTCTCTCTGCCTCTTGTGGGATATTCTCTCTCTCATTCTCTCTCTCTCCCTCTCTCTCTCTCTCTCACCCTCACTCAATTGCGCCCTCTCTCTCTCAAAAAAAAAAAAAAAAATCATGCTTAGTTCCCATGATTTGCAACCACAGTTTGTTTCGAACCACCTCAGCATTCTGGGGATTCAAACACTGAAGGATGGAAGGACTGCATTAACTGTAAGTTCCCTTCCAACCCTGAGACTCTAGGGCTCAAGAGACAAAGGCCATCGGTGTCAAGCACAGAGGGATGCTCACTATTTATTCAACAAAATTTACTGATCTACTCATTACAGACACTATTAGATACTAAAAATAAAAGGTGTTTGAATGACCTGATACACCAGTGCTGCTTCTTCAGTCCACATAAATGAGACTTTAACTTCATATTTTTTGTATATTTTCTGTGTATTTTTCCTTCAAGCCAACTTAAGAAGACTTGATTTCACGGGAAATTTGATTGAAGATATAGAAGACGGTACTTTTTCAAAACTTTCTCTGTTAGAAGAACTCACACTAGCTGAAAATCAACTACTGAAACTTCCAGTTCTTCCTCCCAAGCTTACTTTATTTAATGCAAAATACAACAAAATCAAGAGTAGAGGAATCAAAGCAAATACATTCAAAGTAAGTTTTGTATACTGTGACCACACACAGTATCAGTTTATACAACCAATGGTAACATGATAGAAGAAAGAGAAACTCTGGTCTAAAATTTTGTTTTATATTTTAAAACTGTTTTTACAAATGCCGGAAAATACAGTTCCAAAAGTAAATGCTCAGTTTTACTTCTACCACTTAAAAGTATCAGCCCATAAAATTCTGTAGGTAGCCCTTCTTCTGAGTTCCACAACGGCACCTAGTACAAAATTCTATATACAGTACAAATTAAATACACTTCTTCATTTAGTAACTCAAGAAAACCTACGCACAGGAAAAAGGGAAGGTGATCTACTCTGATTTACATAGCCAGGTTGTGTCCAAATGCACAGTCTCCGGCGAAATTACCGCCTCAGCTGAGACCCGCACAGGCGACATACTTATTCCCGTCCTGGAAGAAGCCCCAGATAAACAGATGATTGGGTGCTACTGGCAGGAGACCTCACTCATAAGTAAAGTTTGTGGCTTCTAATGATAACATCTAACAGAAACACTATGAAATATCATCAAGTTTATAGCAATCACACAAAGGTACAATTAGTCCACACGTACAATCTGTCAGAAAATGTAAAAATGTTCCATTTTCCTTTCCTTCCTGTTTACACTTAAGGAATCCCTTTTCAGTTGTAAGGGACACTGCGAAGGCACATCACAGTTCCTCAGAGACTTTTCAAAACAGGACTCACTTTAAACATAAAAAACCTTTACAATTTGAAGATACAGTAATTTCAGCTGGTAAGCCTTTGACTGACATATTAAAGACCTACAGGAGCTGATCAACGCTTCACAGACGGAGTGTTTGAGTGCTCTGAACTTTACACATGCTTTCCATCTTGAAGCCCTATTATAAAATGATACACAGTAACGGTCTACTGATCATGAAGAGTAACTCAATACAGACCAGTAGGGGAAAGTCATACCTTGCTAAATATTTAATAAATTGCCCTGGAAACATCTCACTACCAAGCGCGCCGCTTAGGAGCACAGGCACAAAGCATTCTATTGTGCACCATTTTACTGCATTTCACAGACACTGCACTCTTTACGAACTGAAGGTTTGGGCTGATTCCGCAGTGAGCAAGTCCAGTGGTGCCCCTTTGCTAACAGCGTTTGCTCACTGTGTCTCCAGGTCACATTTTGCTAATTCTTGCAATATTTTAAACTTTTTCATTATTATTACATTTGTCACGGTGATCTGTCATTAGGGATTACAACTCCCTGAAACGTCAGATGATGGCTAGCCTTTTTAGCAATAAATTATTTTTAATTAAGGTATGCACATTCATTTTTAGACATAACCTACTATATCATAGTGTAAACATAACTTCATATGCGATGGGAAACCAAGAAATACACTGGGCTCACTTCATTGCAATATTCGCTTTATTGTGGTGGTTCCTCTGGAACCGAACCCACGTTACGTCCAAGATATGCCTATATCCATTTTGCTAGAAACTGGTGGAGGTGAAATGAGAAGTTCTAAAGGTTCAAGAGAGGTTATGGCAGCACCAGGATCCAAGCTCAATCCTGCATAGGAAATGACCTTACTAGCTGTTCACGAGACAAGTCAAATGGCCCCAGCAGCTAGCATGAGGTCTGAGGCTGGGAACAGCTGGGTACTCAGTGGTTAGATGAGTGGAGAGAAATGTGGGGGTGCAGCAGGACTTTATCACCCTTCATAAAGGCCCAAAATACACTACTTGGGAAACAAAAAAAAACCCTTAAAACCAAATAACTACCAAAGCAGCAATTGATAGTACTGATTACCAGGACCTATGTACACATGTGTACACATATGTGTATATGCATGCACACGTGCACACATGTAGACGCATGTGCATATATCATAGTTTGAATCCTGTGAAAATGTACTGACCTCAGTGATGATCAAGCAGAGGTAACTTCTCCTTACAGAAACTGAACAACCTCTCCTTCCTGTACTTGGACCACAACGCCCTGGAATCTGTGCCTCTTAATTTACCAGAAAGTCTACGTGTAATTCATCTTCAGGTAGGACTGCTCCTTTCATAATATCTGATGATGTGAATGTAAATTACTATTAGTCAATGTTATGACTCATTAGGAAGCTCATTTGTCCACATGTAAATTATGCCCATCAAATATTACTAACTCGGTGGCCTGAGAGCCCCACCCCACCCCGCCCAGAGAGGCCCAGAGCCCCTGAGCCCCCAGAGGACCCGCAACCAAGGTGTGAGGTCTGCCCTTAGAGTGGGCTCTGTTGCCAGGCATGCACGCGGCATCTCCTAGTTAATGTGACACATGGATCCAAGGCATCCGCGGGTGGGGGGCGCTACGACCTCTGGTTGGTGTCTCTTTCTCCAACAGCAGTGGACACTGTCCACTTGATCTCATGTTGAGGTAACAGAAGAGTGAAGAGGAACTGAGAGGAACTAAAATTGGTCTTCCAGCATCACAGCATTTCCCATTTTTCTTTCTGTAAAGGGACATTTAAGGACACAGTGCCCATTCCGAGTTGACACTCAAAAGCAGGAGAGTCTTTCCAGCCAGTATAATCTTATTTATGCTTAGAGCTTTCTGCTACATGGATGTTACTGTAAGAGCAAGCAATCTGTCTTCCAAAGCAACACTGCAGACTTAAACTGCGGGGGTGAGGGGACTCAGATTGCACAGAGGGTTTTATTGCCCTGAGGATACACAGGATGTACAGTATTTTAAAAACCACTTTTTAGATAGAATATTCTGTAAGATCCCATCACATAGAATACAAAAGGTAGATTTCAAATTCCTGAACAATTTTTTCCTTTTATTTTCTAGTTTAACAACATAACTTCAATCACAGATGATACATTCTGCAAGGCTAACGACACCCGTTACATTCGGGACCGCATTGAAGAGATACGCCTGGAGGGAAACCCCATCATCCTGGGAAAGCATCCCAACAGTTTTATCTGCTTGAAAAGATTGCCTGTAGGGTCATACTTTTAACCACTATCAATGCAGCATATAAGCTAAAGTACACACATGCATATAATCTGTCTCAACAGTGCCTAAAGCATAAATATTTAATATTAACTTTGTGTCCCATGATGAAGGAATTTTATGTTTTAAACAAAGATGTTCACAAATCTTACACATAACAAGCAAAATGTAAAACTGAATCCTGAAGTTCAAAACAAAGTCATGTGAAAATATTTAAGCAGCATTACAAAATCCTCATAGTTTATACCATGGTGCCATTTAAAAGGTATGTTTTTATATAAATACCCCAATTTAAGAAGCACTATTTCCATTACTAATGACATGAAAGGGTAAGTCCAAAAAACTTTCAACTGCTGATCTTTCCAGACCTTTACTTGATCCCTAAAGCACTTAAGGACTATGTTCCAAAAACTTTGAAAGCTAAGTGTTTCCAGTAATCTCCCATTTTTCTGTTATGATTCACACATTTTTCATTATGAAGCAGGAACTTGTTTTCTTTCTATTAAGGCAGTTATTATTCTATTAATAAGTTATTATTCTATTAAGGCAGTTACTTAGCCTGAGAAATAGTGAACAGTCTCATACCTAGGCAAAACTTTCCAAATAAAGCGTAATTTTACTCTCTGATAAAGACCTAACAGAGTAATGTCCAATGTTATTCTGCTTTGTGGTCACACAGTTAAAGGCTTTAGCAAAACAGCACACATTTTTCCTTTCTCTAAATATTAAAATTCTAAGTCTACCATAAAACATTTTAAGGAGTCAAGCAGACCAAAATCAGTATGCTCATAAAAAACCTGAACGTTCATCCCATATCTCAGAAAATACCTATAAAGTTCTCCATTGTAAAGACTTTCAAATACGATAAATATGGAAAAATATTTTCTTTTTAGCACCATAGGGATGAGAATCTCATCAATAAATCTGTCCAAATGTAAGACATGAAAACAGTCAATTTAGTGGTGTTACTGAACACTACCTCCCCCTTACCCCCCAACCCATACGCATCATACTCATGCCAACTGCCTATCCATTCACAGGAAAGCTTCTGAGCAACATTTCGTACAGACCCATGATTAACTGGTCATTGAACAGTGTAAGTCCACCTTCGATCTAATAGTGATAACTTAAGAGGAAACAATGCTGCCAGATTAAAGATCCTAAAATAACCTTCCTCTTGCCCAAAACCCACTCAGAAGTCTTAGACTCCTTATCACATTGAGGTTACATCCAAAATTATCAGTGCTTTAGACACATGAGTCCGAACTGTGCATATGAAAATTTCCAATATTGTTTCCAACATAAATAATACATTAGAATCAAGTTGGTCTCTGTACACCAATCCCAGAAGTTATTCATATTTTTAAGCATTTGCTTCTGTTTTTCCCTACACAGAATGAGCTCCAGTTTTTCAATTTTTCCCCCATTTGTCAAGGTTGACCCCAAGATAAGCTTTTCTCACCGAAACATCTATGATCTCTCAAGGCCACAACAATTAGCCCTATACCACTTACTAACTCATTTGCTGATTTTATTTTGGTAATTGGTAATCATAACTATATACTGCTTTCTCATTATTTTGTGTGCATGCCTCATTTCTCTGTGACTGAAAGCTCACAGAATACATCCAATATTCCTTTTATACCTTGAAAGTGCTTACTATAATATTGAGCACATCTGGATTGAATATACAATGAAAAGTACAAAATAAAATTCATTTAAACAGAGAGCTCTCTTTCATTTGGAAAAATAGAATCTTAAACTATCACAGTCTTGAATAAATCAATGGAAATAAATTACAACCTTATCTGGATAAAAATAAACTGGATAAAGGACAGCTGAGTGTTGGGGATACCAGGAAAAGCCATCAGAGGAGACTTCTCTCATGTTTCCAGATGTAGCCCTATATTCTTTACCTAACTAAACTCACAGAGGAAAAAACACCTTAACTCAAATTTTAGAGAATTCAAGAATTCTGTGGTGTCCACAAAATAATAATTAGGAAAGAGCACTAGTAAAAGGTCTAAATTACAGAATTATCTTTAATTTTTTTTTTAATGTTTATTTCTGACAGAGAGACACAGTGTGAGCAGGGGAGGAGCAGAGAGAGAGGAAGACACAGAATCTGAAGCAGGGTCTAGGCTCTGAGCTGTCAGCAGAAAGCTCGACGCTGGGCTTGAACTCCAGAGCCATGAGATCATGACCTGAGCCAAAGTTGGACATTCAACCAATTAAGCCACCCAGAAGCCCCAGAATTATCTTTAAAGGACAATTTCAGTGGCACCTTGCCGGCTCAGTCAATTAAGCATCCGACTCTTGATTTTGGCCCAGTTTGTGATCTCACAGTTCATAAGACTGAGCCCCACATTGGGCTCTGCACTGACAGCATGAAGCCTCCTTGGTTGGGATTCTCTCCCTGCCTCTCCCCGGCTTGCTCGCTCGCTCGCTCTCTCTCTCTCTCCCCCTCTCTCTCTCAATATAAATAAATAAACTTAAAAAAAGTTAAAAATATTTTACCCTTACAAACACTCCTGAAAGAACTAAGAAGACATCCATTAGTGGAGAGACATTCTGTGTCCATGGACTAGAAGACTGAACAGTTACTACACCAGCACCACCCAAAGAAATCCAGACTCAGTGCAGTCCCTATTGAAGTCCCAATCCTATTTTTTGAAGACACAGAAAAAAACATTCTAAAATTCACATGGAACCTCAAGGGACTCCAAATAAGCAAAAGAAATTAGAAAAGAAGACTAAAATTGGAGAACTCACACTTTTTCATTTTCAAAGTTAATTACAAAGCTATACTAATCGAAAGTATGGTACTGGAATGGACAGGAACATATAGAACAATGCAAGAGAACAGAGAGCCCAGAAAATATGGTCAAACAACTTTCAATAAAGGTGCCAAGACCACTCAATAAGGAAAGGACTGTCTCTTCAATAAACAATGCCGAGAAAATCAGATATCCACATGCAAAAGGATGTAGCTGTACCCTTAGCTTACACTGTATACAAAAGTTAACTCAAGTTGGATCAAACATCTTAACTTAAGAGCTAAACTACAAAACTCTTAGGGAAAAAAAAGAGGAAAATCTTTATAACAATGAATTTGGCAATGAGTTCTTGGATGTAACATCAAAAGCATAGGCAACAAAAAAATAAACTGGATGTCAGCAAAGTTAAAAACTTCTCTGCATCAAAGGACATTATCAGGGCGCTTGGGTGGCTCAGTTGGTTGGGCATCTGACTTCGGCTCAGGTCATGTTCTCACGGTTCATGGTTTGGGTCCTGCGTCAGGCTCTGTGCTGACAGCTCAGAGCCTGGAGCCTGCTTCGGATTCTGTGTCTCCCTCTATTTGCCCTTCCCCCGCTCACGCTCTGTCTTACTCTCTCTCTTAAAAATAAATAAACATTTAAAAAAAAAAAGGACACTATAAGTGAATGAAAAGACAATCCAAAGAATGACAGAAGATATCTACCAACTATACACTTGATAAAGGATTAATGTCTAGAATACATTAAAAAAAAAAACAAAACAACACTCCTACAGGGACACCTGGGTGGCTCAGTTGGTTGAGCATCCAACTCTTGGTTTCAGCTCAGCTCATGACCTCACAGTTCATGGGTTCGAGCTCCGCATCCGGCTCTGTGGTGTCGGTGCGGAGCCTGCTTGGGATTCTCTCTCCCTCTCTCTCTGCCCTTCCCCTGCTGTGCTCACTTTCTCTCAAAATAAGTAAGCTTAAAGGAAAACAACAACAACAACAACAACAACTCAACAAGAAAAAAGCACCCAATTTAAAAATGGGCAAAGGATGTGAATAGACATTTCTCCAAAAGAAGATATACAAATGGCCAATATGCACATGAAACAATGCTCAACATCACTAATCATTAGGTAAATGCAAATCAAAACCACAAGAAAAATTCTACTTCACACCCATTTGGTTGGCTATGAGCCCCCAAAAAACAAAACAAAGGAAAATCCCAAAACACGCTGGCAAGTGTGTGGAGAAATTGGAAGGTTTGTGCACTACTGTTGGGAATGCAAAATGGTGCAGCCGCTATGGAAGAGAACATGCAGTGTTTCACAAAATTAAACAGAATTTCCATATGACCCAGCAATTCCATTTACAGGTATATTTGTAACAGAACTGAAAGCAGGGACTTGAACAGGTATTTGTACACCAATGTTCATAGAAGCATTATTCACAATAGTTAAAAGATGGAAACAATGCAAGTATCCATCAAGATGAATGGATAAACAAAATGTGGGGCATCCATACAACAGAAGATTATTCAGCCTTAAAAAGTAAGGAAATCCTTCAATCTGATGCAGAATGGATGAACCTTGAGAATATTATGCTAGGTGAGATAAGCCAAAAAAAAGTATAAATTTTATGATTCTGCTTAAATGAAGTACTTAGAAATTCACAGAAATAGAAAAAAGAATGGTGATTCTCAGGAACTGGGGTAGGAAGCAATGACAAATTAGTGTTTAATGGGAACAGAGTTTCAGTTTGAGATGATAAAAAAGTTCTGGAGATAAATATTGGTGGTGGCTGCACAACAATGTGACTGTTTCTTTCCGTCCTTTCCATTTCTTTCCTTATCACCCAGGAAAGTCGGCCCGCAGAAGCACTGTGTCCTCCACAGGATAAACACACCAATTATACTTCTATGCCTCCTTGAAAGCACCTAGAGTCAAATCAGCTTTGGAAATGGGACTAACACTCACATTTCCCACAACCCATGTTAGGTGATTCGTCACCACAACTGACAGCATACTCTCAGTCATTACTATATTTACCAATTATGAAGCAAAGCTATTTAACTGTTTGGGTGCAAGAGCACCTGTAAGTAAACAACAGTGAGAGAACTCAAGGGACCACAGTACAGGTACAACCATGTTTCACTCTAAGGAAAATTCTATGCCTGAAAGATTTTATTAACTCGACCCAAGCAGTAGTAGTGGTAACAGTGATAATAATAATAATAAAAAAGAATGCAAATATACAAGAGTTAGTACCAATCACAAAAACAATAGTCACAGCCTGGTTAGGCTTTTGAGATATTATTATATTGACTCTTTCAGAACCGGATTTTGTATGGACTACAGCTGTCAATATTGCTACTATCCAACTAAGTACAACCTGAGGCATTATAATGCAGCCAAACATAATTCTGGTTATGACAGAAAACAGGATAAAAAGAAGTCCTTAAATGTATCTATTATCAGAATTAAGAAGCATTACTTTACTGAAATCAGGCTTAAATACTTAAACTTGAAATACACAATGATTAAGAAGCTCAAAATACAGAGTATGACTCAGAAAGTAAGGACTGTGCTAGGTGATAAGCCTGCTATAATTACATTCATTTGAGCATTTGTATTTTGTTTCAAGTACTCTTGACAGATTAATTTTTCAAAATGTGTAGGGGGTAAGTAAGAATATAACTATACTTCTTCCAAGATATCCCATAATACAAATGACTCATTGGTTTGTACAGAAGCATTCCTCTTCATTTACCCCAAATAACTGCAAATTCCAGAAGCCAATGAAAATATTTTGTATTCTTTGAAAACTTTAAGGAAAGAATGCTATGTTAAATCCCCAAATTAATACCAGCTTCACTTTTAGGTTATGTTTAAATTTAAACCAGCTTCACTCTTCACATACATTTAAATCTAAAAACTTTAGACCCTACCTTGAAGTGTTCAAATGTGCACTTACGATATTCACACCACTCCACAAAAAAGTGTAGGCTTCGGAAAAACATCAATAGATCTCTTCTATCTTCTGCTCTGTAGGAATAAAAGATTTTATGATTAATAAATACTATAAATGAGAGCCCCATTCTGGCATTTTTTTAAGCTTATTATTTTTTAATTATTTTAATGTTTATTTATTTTTGAGAGAGAGAGAGAGAGAGAGAGGCAGGCAGAGAGAAAAGGAGACATAGAATCCAAAGCAGGCTCCAGGCTCTGAGCTATCAGCAGAGCCCGACACAGGGCTGAAACTCATGTACCATGAGATCATGACCTGAGCTGAAGTCAGATGCTTAACCAACTAGGCGACGCAGGCACCCCTTATTGTTTTTTATATATACTACACTAAAGCTAAAAACAGACCTTGATACATTTCTGTATTTTAAACTCTGATTATGTGCCCCTGTGTGATTGCTAATGCTAATTTTTTTTTTTTAATCAAATTTTAGTTAACATACTGTGTAGTACTGGTTTCAGGAGACTTCAGTGATTCATCACTTACATACAACACCCATTGCTCATCACAAGTGCCCTCCTTAGTACCCATCCTCCATCTAGCCCACCTCCCCTCTATCAACCCACAGTTTATTCTCTATCCTTAAGAGTCTTTTGTGGTTTGTTTCCTTCTCGCCTCTATTCCTTCTCCTTTCCATATGTTCATCTGTTTTGTTTCTTAAATTCCACATAAGTGAAATTATATGATACTGATCTTTCTCTGATTGACTTATTTCACTTAGCAGAATACATTCTAGCTCCATCCATGTCACTGCACATGCAAGACTTTCTTTCCTTCTTTTTTTTTTTTTTTTTTTTTTTGATGGCTGAGCAGTATTCCATTGTGTATACATACCACACCTTTATCCATTCGTCAGTGGATGGACATTTGGCTATTGTTAACACTGCTCTAAACGTTCGGGTGCACGTACCTCTTCAAATCTGTATTTTTGTGTCCTTTGGA